CCTTCTTAAGGGCGGGGGAGAATATTACAAAGTACCTTCTTAAGGGCCAGGGAGAATATCAGTTAGGGTGGGGCAGGAACAAATCACAATGGTGGAATGTCATCAGTTAGGACTATTTTCACTTCTTTTGTGGATCTTCAGTTGCTTCAGGCCATCTGGATGTATACATGCAGGTCATAGGGGATATGATGGCTTAGCTTGGGCTCAGAGGCCTGACAGTGGCTTGGTAGTGGTGAATTCTCTCAGCATTTGTTTGTCTGAAAAAGACTGTATCTTTCCTTCACATATGAAGCTTTGTTTCACTGGATACACAATTCTTGCCTGTTAATTGTTTTGTTTGAGAAGACTGAAGATAGTGCGCTAATGCTTTCTAGCTTGTAGGGCTTCTGCTGACAAATCTGTTAATCTGACAGGTTTTTCTTTATAGGTTACTTGGTTCTTTTGTCTCACACCTCTTAAGATTGTTTCCTTCGTCTTAGCTTTAGATAGCTTGTGCCTAGGCAGTGATCCTTTTGCAGTGAATTTCGCAGATATTCTTTGTGCTTCTTGTATTTGGATGTCTAGGTATCTAGCAAGGCCGGGGAAGTTTTCCTTGATTATTCCCCCAAATATGTTTACCTAACTTTCAGATTTCTCGTCTTTCACAGGAATGCCGATTATTCTTAGGTTTGATCATTTAACATAATCTCAGACTTCTTGGAGGCGTTGTTCATATTTTCTTATTATTTTTCCTTTGTCCTTGTTGGATTGGGTTAATTCAAAGACCTTGTCTTCGAGCTCTGAATTTCTTTCTTCTACTTGTTTGATTCTATAGCTGAGACTTTACAGAGCATTTTGGATTTCTATAAGTGTGTCCATTGTTTCCTAAAGTTTTGATTGTTTTTTATTTATGCTATTTCATCCAATATTTCCCCTTTCACTTCTTGTATCATTTTTTTTATTTCCTTATGTTGAGCTTTGCCTTTCTCTGGTGCCTCCCTGATTAGCTTAATAACTGACCTCCTGAATTCTTTTTCAGGTAAATCAGGGGTTTATTCTGGGTTTGGATTCATTGCTGGTGATCTACTGTGATTTTCGGGGGGTGTCAAAGAACCTTGTTTTGTCATATTACCAGACTTGATTTTCTGGTCCCTTCTCCTTTCGGTAGCCTCTGTCAGAAGGAAAGTCAAGGGCTCAAGGCTGTTGTCAGATTCTTTTGTCCTATGGGGTGTTCCCTTGATGTAGTAGTCTCCCCCTTTTCCTATGGATGTGTCCTCCTGAGAGCTGAGCTGGAGTGATGGTTTTCTCTCTTCTGGCTTTAACCACCCAGCAAGTCTACCAGGCTCCAGGCTGGTACTGGGGTTGTCTGCATGGAGTCCTGTGTTGTGTGCCATTTGTGGGTCTCTCAGCCATGGATACCAGCACCTGTCCCTGTGGAGGTGTCAGCGGGGTGAAATGGACTCTGAGAGTTCTTAGGTTTGGTGATTTAATGCACTATTTTTGTGCTGGTTGACTCCCCATCAGGAGGTGGTACTTTCCAGAGAGCATCAGCTGTGGTAGTATGGGGAGGAACAAACACTGGATGGGGACTGTAGAACTCCCAAGAGTATATGCCTTTTGTCTAGAGTTCCCAAGGCGGGTAGGGAAAGACCATTGGGTGGGGGCAGGGCTAGGTGTGTCTGAGCTCAGGCTCTTCTTGGGCGTGTTCAGGAAGAGCTGTGGGAAAAGGGGGTGAGGTTTCCAGGTCAATGGAGTTACGCTCCTAGGAGGATTATGGCTGCTTCTGCTGAGTCATGCAGATTGTCAGGAAAGTGGGGGAAAGCAGGCAGTCACAGGTCTCACCAAACTCCCATGCAATCCGAGGGGCCTGTCTCACTCCCACCATGCCCCTGCCAACAACACCAAGTCTGTTTCCAGGCAGTGGGCAAGCAGGACTGAGAACTTGTTCCAGCTACCCGTTTCCCAGCTGCTAAAGCAAATACGACTTTCCTTCTTCACCCGCCTGTGGAGTCTGCCCACCAGATTCATGCCCTTCCCTGAATTCTGGGAAGCAGACTTTTCCAGGAGACTTCTCCATCAGTTCAAAATGTTACAAAATTCAGCTGGCGATTCCTTTTCCCTGTGGCCTTTCCCCGGTGCCTCTGGCCGCCCTCCCGAAGGACCCCTGTGTGGACAGGCAGAAATGGTTTATTAGGGAACCCAGCAAGCTCACAGGGCTTTCCCTGCTGCTTTCTCTACCCCTGTATTTTGCTCAGCTCTCTCAGTTGACTCAGTTCCAGGTAAGGTCAGAATTTTCTCCCGTAACCTAGACCTTCAGGTTCCATAGTGGGGGTGTGTGTTTGAGGGATCTCTCTTTCCCACTTCCACAGTTTGGGTACTAACAGTATTTGGGGTGTCTCCTGGGTCCTGCAGGAGCAATCCACTTCCTTCAGAGGGTCTGTGGGTTCTCTCGCCTTTCCGGATTTATTCCTGCAGTCATTCTGGAGCAAAACATCATGATGTGAGGCTCCACAGGCTGCTCTGTCCATCAGAGTTGGAGCTGTAATCTAGTCCTGCCTCCTGTCTGCCATGATCTGCCCATCCCCCTAAACATTTTAAATAATCATGTTTCTTGTTAAGTTTTAAGGGCTCTTTTTATGTTATACATATTAGCCCTGAGTTATATTTATCTCCCTTCCTTCTACATGCCTTTTATTTACATGTAGAAAGACTTTTTCCATCCTGAGATTATAAAAACAGTATTATTTTCCTTTTCCTTTACCACATTTAGACACTTGATCTACTGGAATATGGCGTATTTTCGTTTATGGTATGAGGGAGAGAATAAGTTTAATTTTTCCCAGAAGTTCTCTGGTGTCCCAGTAGCATTTGTGGACTAGTCTATTTTCTTTTTTTTCCACTAACTGGAAATACCACATCATCCTCTAAATGATGTGACCTACAGTAAAATTTATCTTAATTGACCTCCACTTAACATACTGAATGGGTTAATTGATAGTCTCTATTCTCTCTGTAAAACATACTGATGGAAGATCACAGTAAGCTTAATGTTTACTACTAATAGGCTACTTAGTACTATACTGGTATGATTCTGTTTCTTGCTTGTGGTTTTAGATCACTGATACTCAGATTTGATCATTCTGCAAACTTAATGTGAACTCAGCTTGCCATTATGTATTAATTTAATTTATGTAAAGCAGTGAAATATGAAAGGAAGGAAAGGTGGTGTTTTGGAGAAAGCTAAATTAGGTGCTTTAGAAAGAAAAAATGAGTCACCAAAAATTTTGTGGCTAGTAAGGACATTGTATACAGTTTATTTAAATATTATAACATATATAGATCTAAGTTCTAGGAGCAGGGAATGAAATATGGATATGAAGGATTACTTTTCCCCTATAGAAAAACTTGTAGAGTTCAGCAACAAAAACAAATGGTTGAATTTGAGGGCAGTTTGGTATATGAGAGGAAGTTTATTTTCTGAATTATAGACCTTTAAAAATGTATTCTGTTGTGAAACATTTTAATGATGTAACTGTTGTAGTCCATTTGTGCTACTGTAACAAAATACCTGAGAATTGGTAATTTATAAAGAACAGAAATTTATTTCTCTGAGTTCTGGAAGCTGAGAATTCTAAGATCCAGGTACTGGCAGGTTTGGTATCTGGTAAGGATTCAGTCTTTGCTTCCAAGATGATGCCTTGAACATTGCATTGTCCAGAAAGGAGGCATAATATGCCCTCACATGACAGAAGGCAGAGGGGGAAAAAGAGACAAACTCCCTCTTTTGGTCCCTTCTCTAAGGTTACTTATTCCCAGTCACCAGTGTGGAGCCCTAATGACTAGAGGCCCTAACTTCTAGTAACATCACTTTGGTGATTAGATTTTAACTCAGCTTTTGGGGAGGATACAACATTCAAACCCTAGCAGCAACTCATAGCTTTACATTATAAGTACATAGACCCAATTAAAATTTGTTAACAAAAACGTAGATTCGTAGTAGGCTAAATGTAGTGTTTTCATACTGCAGACTGTTGTCTCTTTTGAACATGATGTGGTATTTCTAACTAGTAAGTTAAAAATACTGATCTTTAACTCTAAAATAAAGAGAATGAAAACTAGATTACTGCATTGTATTAGTTTTCTGTCATTATATGACAACTTCAAAACTTAGTGACTTGAAACAATAACCATTTATCATATCAGTTTCTATGGTCAGAAATCAGGGAGTAGGCCGGGCGCGGTGGCTCACGCCTGTAATCCCAGCACTTTGGGAGGCCGAGGCGGGCGGATCACGAGGTCAGGAGATCGAGACCATCCTGGCTAACACGGTGAAACCCCGTCTCTACTAAAAATGCAAAAAATTAGCCGGGCGAGGCGGCGGGCGCCTGTAGTCCCAGCTACTCGGGAGGCTGAGGCAGGAGAATGGCGTGAACCCGGGAGGCGGAGCTTGCAGTGAGCCGAGATCCGGCCACTGCACTCTAGCCTGGGCGACTAAGCGAGACTCTGTCTCAAAAAAAAAAAAAAAAAAAACAGGGAGTAGTTCAGGTGGGTGGTCTGGCTCATCATTTTTTCATGAGTTTATAGCCAAAATGATAGCCAGGGCTGCAGTCATCCGAAGCCTTGACTAGGGCTAAAGCATACATTTTCGAAATGATTAACTCATGGAATGCTTATTGTTGGCAAGAGTGGTCATTTCCTCCCCATGTGGGTCTATCCATGGGGCTACCTTAAGCGTATTCATAGCATGGTAGCTAGCCTCCCTCAGAATGTGCGATCCGAGAGAGAGTGAGGTAGAAAATGTAGTCTTTTATGACCTAGTTCTTGAAGTCACATACCATCTGTCACATCTATGTGTTTTTGTTAAAAGTGAATCAGTAGGACAGTTCACACTCAAAGGAAAAGGAATTAGACTCCAACTCTTAAAAAGGAGAGAAACCACCACACTGCAGATATTTATTTTGTGTGTGTGTGGATCAGTGAAGAGGAAGAGATTAATGTATAATGTTTGGTCTTCTTTTTAGGACACTGCCTTAGGAAAACCACGAGAGGTGTTTCGACTTCCTACAGATTTGACAGCATGTGACAACCGTCTTTGTGCATCTATCCATTTCACATCTTCTACCTGGGTTACCTTGTCAGATGGAACTGGAAGATTGTATGTCATTGGAACAGGTGAACGTGGAAATAGCGCTTCTGAAAAATGGGAGGTGAGGGTTTGTTTGAGACTTATGCAAAGTCCAGAAAGTATATGTAAATTACACCCGACGTATTTTAAAATGACACTTTTCAAGGATGGTTTACATGTCATCTGTTGTTTGATATATAATGTTTTGGATCTCTTTTTAACTAAATTATAAAATGTATATTTTTCACAAACTGTTACATTAACCATTCCTGTTTTGATCTGGAGTCAGTGCAGTTGTCAAGAATTGCATTCATTTTTCAGCAGATATTTTATATGCGTAGAGTACTTCACTAAGCGTTGACATTGCCTCTTCCTTTTTCAAGAGATGTTTTTCTCCTCTACTATTATGTTAGATTTGCTGGGATGTTTACATTGGTCAAATAGTGGTCAAATTACCAGAATATTCTCTATTTAGAAAAATATGTGATATAAATATATAGTTACATGCCAATTTCCAAGACAACATTTTTACTTTAATTTAAAAAGTTAGATATAAATCTAAAGGGTAGGTTGGGGTTTTAATAGTAATAAATAAGGAATTAATTTCTTTAGAACTACAGTTTTTAAAAGTAGAAGAAAATGATGCCAAGCAGATAATCAAAAGATTTAGTTTACTGCTTCAGCTCCTTTGAGTTATGCTAATAAGTGTATTGTAATATTGCTACTGTCTGAATCTCAGCAGGTAGCCTTTAGCTCTGGGTAAAGAGATGCGAGCTTAATATATTTATATCTTATAAAATAATTTCATCTGACCAACAGATGCCTGCAAAGACCAGGCTTTAGTTACTTGAAAAAAACCAGGGAGGTCTTAGAACCAAATAGTTTACCTACCTTACTAAGTTATACTAAAGGTTATACTACCAAATTATAGTATGTTCAAAATACACAGTAAATAACCAGAACAGCAGTAGCCTATTTACAAGAGCCTGTTGCATTCACAGTTTCAAATATTCATTGGATACTGTGACAATTTCTGTTTTGGCCTTTAGTAACAACTTTAATTTTTCTGAAAAACAGAAGTAATGTGGTGTGTAGCACAGCTACCTGAAACAGTTGGAAGGTATTTTCAGAATAATGGACAGGAGAGATAGAGTGGGAATTTATATGGTATTGAGCTGTATGGATTCTGTAGATTTTGAACAAGACAAACCTACTTGACTCACTTTCATCTTAAAAATAATACCACACATTATTTTACATGAACTTATACTTCTTTTGGTTTTGTTTTGTATATCCTCTTGGCATGTATTAGGACTTCAATAATATCTTTTAAATAAATTAAAAACTTAAATATACCTGTGGCTTCTTCAGTGTATACTGCCCTAATGAGATAAGCTCCCTTAGCAGATGTTTTCAGCTGATAATAGTTTTGACTAAGTACTGGTAGGAGAGGGAGGAGACTTGGGCATTAATGGAGGTGGGAGGGATACTGTGTTATATTAGTCACTTTTAAGAAACAATTTAGGAGGGTTTTAGAACTTTAGGGTAATTAGTGTAAAAGAGAAGAAGCTGAAAGTGGAAGTGATTATGGAGCATGGTAAGGGGAAAGGGGGCCAAGGGTAGTAGTGGCGATTACTGAAGTTTAAAAAGAGAAATTAAAGGAGACAGCTTGCTTTCCAAATGTGTTGCCTCTAATACCATGGAAGCGCTGTGTATCTGCGGTATCACAATTTAGATGCTGAGCTTGTTCAGAAAACTAGAAACATCAGCCTAACAATTTTTAAAAGTATGCCATCTACTCTTTTGGTTTCATTCCAGTTCCTTTCACTCATACTAGAAAGAAAAAAAGAAACAATAAACTAGCTACTTGTTCCTGCCAAAACTTGTCATTTTCTGTTCTTCCCTTTTGTTTCCACTGTTCCCCAAACAAAAGCAAAACCCAATCAACCAATAAAAACCTGCCTTCATCTGTCATCTCTGTTTTGAGTATTTAAGGATTTTTTTTTTAAGTTTTTGCTTTTTCAGTTTATGGAAATCTTAAGAATGGATTCTGAAGGCCCACTACTTGAATGATTTTGGCAGATGTTCAAATACATAGGGAAGTTGATGACATTAAAGCACACTTTTCTTTGTAAGTTTTCAAGTAGGAGTAGATATGTCGGGATTCCAGGTATAGGGTTTTTTGTTTTTGTTTTTGTTTTTGTTTTTTAAACCACCTTTTTTTTCAGTTAGGCTTTTTCTCAACTGTCCATATTTTATTTGGAAATCTTGTTTAGGAAGCAGCCTTAAAACGTTCTTTATTTTGTATTTACTCTTAAAAATATAATAGTAGTTGAGATCTTGTGTTTGTGGTATAAGAAAGAATTGATAAGATTTTGTGTGTTTCTGTATGATGCTTAGGTAAGAGTTTGTGTGTTTTTATATGATGCTTTTTTGCTTTTCAAAAAACACTTTAGGATTATATTTTAAATAGAGTTTATTAACTTATTCTTAAATGCTAATAGGCTTTTTTGTTTTTGAGAAGAAACATGTTTTGGTGATTTATTCTTCAATGTTTTTGACTCTTGCCTTTGTAAACTTCTAGAGAATAAACAAACAGGAAAAAAGCGTACACACATGCACACTCATATACAGTATCTGGAAACTAAGAGGAAGCAAGGTAACCAAGACTAGTGATCAGTTTTTTCTTACACAAATAAATATTTTCTTAAAAGTTCTGTCCTCAGGGAACATTATCTAAACTTGCAGTCTTTATGTAAAGGCCTTTCTCTTTTTAAATTTCTTGTAATTAATAGTGTCCAGAGTAACTGTTGAATCACCAGAAACTTATGTATTCCCTCTATGCTATCTGTGTTCATGTAATTATGTACACATTTTTGTGTGTCTAATTTTGTTTTGTAGATTATGTTTAATGAAGAACTTGGGGATCCTTTTATCATAATTCACAGTATCTCATTGCTAAATGCTGAAGAACATTCTATAGCTACCCTACTTCTTCGAATAGAGAAAGAGGAATTGGATATGAAAGGAAGTGGTTTCTATGTTTCTCTGGAGTGGGTCACTATCAGTAAGAAAAATAAAGGTAAAACAAAATCTGAATCTCTCTCTACTGGTTGCCATTATTTAGTAGATTTTGAAACGCAAAACTGTCCCTGTAAATGCTGTTTGCTTTTTCTTGGGCATTGTGTTACAATTCTGGCACCTGCCACCACTGGTGGAATGAATATGTATAGGTAGTTTTTTCCTCAGGTATATTTTATAGAAAAAAAATACAGTGTGCTTCCACAGCCAATTATGCGTTTTATATAAAAGAAGACATTGTTATATAAGTTTTGAGTAATTTAACAGGTATATTTTTAATATATACAAAAATATATGCATATATATGTGTGATACACAAAAATGTATACCTAAAACTAAATGTAAGTTAATAAATTATAGTATAATTTAAATATAAATAAATATAAATACTTACTTGGAAATGAATGTCTTTATTTCATTAAATTACAAGTATGATTTCTTTTAAATCTAATTGAACTTCGTCATTTGTTTCTACATTTAAGAAAACTGTTACTGTGCTCCCATGTTTAGAATAGTCCTGAACCTTGGTCTGTTTGAAGCTGTCAGTCAAGCTTCTAACTTGACTTTAAAAATTACAGTCTCATGAATTAATTAGGATTTTTTTTAGTGGTATTAGGAAAGCTCTTTGCCTTTGCTTAGTTCCTACTGACTCATTGAGTGTTTTCTTTTTAATCGTAGTTGAGTACTGAGAGTGCTTGTTTCCGTAATGACTCTATGCTCTTTTTCTCAGTAGTTTTTATTAGCTGACTCATTTATGAGTAAGTTATAATAAATTAAATTATCACTCATCACTATAGAAAAATATTTCTTTACCATAGCTACTAGTTTGCAATTCAATAAAGACATTAGCAGTTGTTTCCTAAGAGGGTTTTGCCTTTTATTCTAAAACAAACAGCTGTCTGTCTGTCTATCTATCTATCTAATAGATATCTCAAAATAGTTTATAAATAAACTGAATAAGTCTCCTAGATTTATTCTTTGAAGTATTCAGTATAATTTATTAGTTCTTTTTGGTGTTGTAGTTTTATCTCTGGAGGAACACAGTAACTTTAAACTTTAAATTAGATATTAGAAAACTTTTTTGAAGTCCCAGTTGGTAACCATAAGATCTATGTCACAGCTATCCGAGTATGCCGACACAGGGCAAAAGCAGCCATAGACAATATATAAATGAATGAGTATAGCTGTGTTCCAATCATACTTTATGGACATTGAAATTTGAATTTTATTTTTTTTGACATATATTTAAATATTCTTTAAATATTACCATTTTAACAATTTAAAAATATAAAATTCATGCTTAACTCACAGGCCATACAAAAGTAGACCTAGATTCAGCTTTGACTCAAGGGTCCTAGTTTGCAGAACCCCTGCTTTAGATAATGGAAACCTTAATTTTTTTAAGGTATATAATTCAGAATCTTACAGGAGACACTGTCATGCATATTCCTCCTCCTTTCTCCAAGACACTTGCTTCTGTAACATCTTTTTCTCAGTCTGTGGTAACTCATCAGATTGCCTCAGAACATAGCAGTACTCTGCTCCAGCTCTATCTTCTCCATCCCCTTTGTCTTCATTTCTTTGCCTCAACTGGACAGATACATTGAGACTAACCTTTTTTCTCCCAAGATTGTAGTTGTAGAATCATTAATTCTCTGTATTGTTCCCTTTATCTTTCTTTTATATCTTGTTCCTTCTCTCCCAGACTATTACTAATATGATTTTTTTCTTTTTCTTTTTAATTAACAGAACTGTGTTTTTGTAAACTGTTTTGAATGAAACATTTCATAAATTATATTTATGGTCACATAAGTTTGAAAATGTGGGCATAAAATAACTCCATTACACATTAAGCATATTAAAGTTGCTAAAAATTGTGAGTAAATTTTAGGCTAGATGCAGAGGCTCATACCTGTAATCTCAGCACTTTGGGTGGTCAAAGCAGACGGATCACTTGAGCCCAGGAGTTTGAGACCAGTCTGGGCAACATAGTGAGGCCCTGTCTGTACAAAAATTACAAGAACATTAGCTCGGCATGGTGGTGTGCACCTATAGTCCCAGCTACTCTGGATGCTGAGGTGGGAGGATTGCTTGAGCCTGGGAGTTTGAGGCTACAGTGAGCTGTGATCGTGCCACTGCATTTTAGCTTGGGCAACAGAGCAAGGCCCTGTCTCAGACAAACAAAAAAATTTATGCTTAATTTTAACCTAGCATTTCTCCACATATTTAACCATGGAATCCAGTTTTTTAGAATTCTTATTCCTTTCTGTCCCATGCATGTTGGGAAAGGCCACCCTAGAAATATGTAATGTCTGTGTTTGGATCTTTAAAGTCAAGTAGGACTTTTGTCCCTGCATGTATCTATAGGGGAAGTGTAGGAGTTTTGTTAATTCATTAAATTACAAGCCTGTCCTTAAATATGTGTGAATTGAATGTGTGAATGTAGGTGAGGATTTTGAGTACAAACAATGAGATATTTTAGAACAGATGGTATTATTATGTAAAAACTCATAATAATATGACATTGAGTTGTGATTTTTGACTACTCAGTATGAAGCCTACAAGTACAACCCACTTTAAAGAGTAACAGTATAGGTAAAAGTATGGAGTCAGCTAAAATATTTGAGTTCTTTTTAAAGCAAAAAATTACTGTCTTTATAGGAAAATAAATTCAATTTGTCAGAAACTTTTGGAATACAGTTAATTGTTTATATCTTAAAAGTAGCAGTAATTTATGTTTAATTATAAGCATATAGGTAAATGTCTTGAGTGGGTAAAATTATTTCTGCTATAAATTTATTTCATTGTTAAAATGCACCTTATCAGGAGTTAGAGCAGGCAGAAAAATAGTCCACACTGCATGTTTTCCCTTGTCCTCAATTTGTGACTTTTCAGAAGATGCTTATCACATACCTGCTGAGAAGGCAGACAGGCTTTAGTCAAGGACTGGTAGGTCATACAGAAGCTGTTATTCCAAGTAAGCCAGTCATGTTGGAGTTCTGGGGCACTGCTGTCTAATAGAGATTTCTCCAAGATGGACATGTCTTATATGTGTACCATTCACTGCAGTAACTACTAGCCATGTGTAGCTGTTGAGCAATTAAAATGTGGCTAGTGTGACTGAGGAATTTAAATTTTACTTAATTTTAAGTAGCCACTTGTGGCCAGTGACTACCACATTGGACAGGACAATCAGGAATAAATTTCACCAGACCCAGCATTTTAAAATAGGGACTTATTTACAGAAAATTAGGTTGTAAATTGTTTACCTTATGAAAAGACTCTTAATAGTATACCTTTTAATAGTACATTAAAAGTATTTAGTTATAATTAAAATCAATATTTAAGTATCAGAATATTTTGATAATAGTTTTTATTTGTAATGTTTTGTTCTAAAATACTTTTTCTTACAGATAAGAAAAAATATGAAATTATTAAGCGTGATATTCTCTGTGGAAAGTCAGTGCCACATTATGCTGCTATTGAGCCCGATGGAAATGGTCTAATGATTGTATCCTACAAGTCTTTCACATTTGTTCAGGCTGGTCAAGATCTTGAAGAAAATATGGATGAAGACATGTCAGAGAAAATCAAAGGTAATTTTTATTCTTAAAAGTAATTGTTTGTATTTGCGTAAACATATATTTGTCTTTTGTTTTCCCAGTTAATAGTTCTACGTGGGCAAGATAAATGCATAATTTTTTCTTTATTTTCTCATATATTTTCCAGAAGTCTTTTGGAAGGTATACCACCGTAATAGTGTGAATGAACTGGTTTAATTTGATCATTTTGTTATTACCAAAATGTTTTTTTAAAAAATCGTTTATTAGCTTTCTTGATTAGATGCTTAATAAATAGTTATCAAATAAATAAATAATGTCTATTTGCTATTGGTATTGATGGTATTAATAGTGTAATATTGAAGATACTAATTTTTAAAAGTAAATTAAGCTAACCTACCTGTTCTTACCTTTTATACTAAACTGAAAGTAAGTTCCTTGAGGGCAGAATCACATAATTTTATCAATGTTGAATGAATGCATGAAGGTTATGTTTTAGCATGAAAAGACTGGCCAGACACAGTGGCTCACGCCTGTAATCCCAGCACTTTGGGAGGCCTAGGCGGGCGGATCACAAGGTCAGGAGATCGAGGCCATTCTGGCTAACATGATGAAACCGCATCTCTACTAAAAATAAAAAAAAAAATTTGGGCACGGTCCCAGGCAACTGTAGTGCCAGCTACTTGGGAGGCTGAGGCAGGAGAATCGCTTGAACCCAGGAGGCAGAGGTTGCCGTGAGCCAAGATTGTGCCACTGCACTCCAGCTTGGCGACAGTGAGACTCTGTCTCAAAAAAAAAAAAAAAAGATAAGACTAACAAGAAACTTCAGAAGAAATTTGTATTTGTAAATAAAGAACAGACATTCTTTTAAAACTATTCAAGAGAACATTCCTCTGTAATAATTACTGTTCATATTTCTGATGTTCATAGCCAGAGAATAGTATATTTTACTTAACAGAGATTTTTACAATATTTAATAATTATACATAATTTTTCTTTGAATCTACCTTTTTTGTTAAACAAGTTAATTATTTTATAAAATTGGTTTTACCTTTTTATTTTTAAGTGAAATCACGTTGATTAAGAAAGTAAGGAAATAAAAGAATGGCTACTCCATAAGCAGAGCAACCTAGGTTTACTCTCTTTGGATGCCTTAAAAAATGAATTATTTGAAAAATATTTGAGAATATTAATGTAGTGTATAATTGAAAAATATTTTCCACAGAGTTTATAAATATATGCACCTCTGAATGCAAATCTTGAACTTAGTAGGCCTTTAGACTTTTAACACCTTCGTTTCCTCATATGGGATTCGTTTTTTGTTAGATTATCTCTAAGATCCTTTCCTGAATAAATGTTACTATTCTGTCTAATTAGGATGCTAACCTCATCTAAAGCTTAGCCAGAATAGCTATTTATTTCTCTAGATCATGTGTCTTTAGAATTCCTTTGGTAAGCAATTGTGAGGGAGTAGAATGAATGCCTTAATCTTTGGAGCCATTCTGCCCAGATAACTTGGAACCATGTAGTTCCAAGAGAGATTGAAGCCTAAGTGGGACACATGTGTTTAAATTACTACCATAGGTATTGTTTTTCTTGATAACATCTCATGCTATATCTTGACTTCCCCCCAAATTCATTGTTTATTTTGTCATAGGATTTTCACAGTAATAAAGGAAAAGTGTTGTAATTTTTAAAAATTATAGGTAGTTTGGTCATTGATTGGCATGTGTAATACTTTCTGAATATTAATATGTATACTGGTTTCCTTTCTGTTAACTTCAGGAAGACTGGTATTATCTATTGGCTGTTTGGCATTTTAATAATGTGTTTTTAAAGACCTAAAACACAATCTCTAAAGGCATAGAAAGGTACTCAAAGAAACCAATAATTGAGAAAATTATTTCGGTGTTTGTATACATTCAACAATGTATACAGTGGGGAGGTGATTAAAAAATTGTGACTTTCCCTTTAGTCTACATCCATGGCCTTTAATTAATTAATACATTTTTAAAATTTCAACTTTTATTTTAGATTCAGGGAGTACTTGTGAATGTTGTTTTACCTGGGTGTATTTGCATGGTGCTGAGATTTGGGGTACGATTGATCCTGTCAGCCAGGTACTGAGCATAGTACCCAACAGTTATTTTTTCAACCCTTTCTAGCCCCTCTAGTAGTCGTAGTGTGTGTTGTTGCCATCTTTATGTCCATGAGTACCCAGTGTTTAGCTCACACTTATAAGTGAGATCATGTGGTGTTTGGTTTTCTGTTCCTGCACTAATCTGCATAGGATTATGGCAACTTGCTATATTCATGTTTCTGCAAAGGACATGATTTTGTTCTTTTACCTGGCTGTGTAGTATTCCATGGTGTATATGTGCCACATTGTTTTTTTCAGTCTGCTGTTGATGGCCACCTATGTTGATTCCATGTCTTTACTGAGGTGAATAGTGCTGTGATGAACATACTAGCCCATGTGTCTTTTTGGCAAAAAAATTACTTATTTATATATATATATATATACCCAGTGTTGAGATTACAGAGTTGAACTGTAGTTCTGTTTTAAGTTCTTTGAGAGATCTTCAAACTGCTTTCCACAGGGGCTGAATTAATTGACATTCCCACCAATAGTGTATCAGCATTCTCTTTTCTCCACAGCCTTATCAGCATGTGTTGTTTTTTGACTTTTTAATTAATAACCATTCTGACTGGTGTGAGATTATACTATCCCTGTAGTTTTGATAGTGCTGATGATTAGTGATGAGTATTTTTGCATGTTGGCCATTTGTATGTCTTGTTTTGCGAAGTGCTGTTCATGTCTTTTGCCTATTTTTTAATGGAGTTATTTGTTCTTTGCTTGTTCAGTTGTTTAAGTTCCTTATAGAGCCTTGATATTAGACTTTTGTTGGGTGCATAGTTGCAAATATTTTCTCTGATTCTATAATTTGTTTATTCATAGTTTCTTTTTCTGTGGAGGAAGTCTTTCATTTAATGAGGTACGATTTGTCAGTTTTTTTGCTGTTGAAATTACTTTTGAGTACTTAGTCATAATTCATTTTCAAGGCCAGTGTCCACAATGGTGTTTCCTAGGTTTTCTTCTAAGATTGTTACAGTCTGAGGTCTTACATTTAAATCTTCAGTTCTTCTTGAGTTAATTTTTGTATATGGTGAGAGGTAGGGAACCAGTTTCATTTTTCTGCATATGGCTAGCCAGCTATCCCAGCACCCTTATTGAATAGGGACTCCTTTCCCTATTGCTTGTTTTTGCTGCCTTTATCAAAGATTATCAGATGAGTATAGGTGTGTGGCTTTATTTCTTGGTCCACTGGTCTGTGTATCTGTTTTTGTACCCTTTTTGGTTATTGTAGCCCTGTAGTATACTCCGAGGTCAGTTAGCGTGATGCCTCTGGCTTTGTTCTTTTTGCTTAGGATGGCTTTGGCTATTTGGGCTCTTTTTTGGATCTATATGAATTTTAGAATAGTTTTTTCTAGTTCTGTGAAATAATATTGGCAGTTTGATGGGAATAGCGTTTAATCTGTAGACTGTTTTGAGCAGTATGGACATTTTAACGATATTGATTCTTCCAACCCATTAACTTGGAATGTTTTTCCAGTTATCTGTGTCATCTGTTATTTCTTTCAGCAGTGCTTTGTAATTCTCCTTGCAGAGATCTTTCACCTCCTTGTTAGATGAATTCCTAGGTATTTTATTATTATTATTATTATTATTATTATTATTATTATTATTATTATTGGCAGCTACAGTAAATGGGATTGTGTTCTTGATTTGGCTCTCAGCTTGAACATTATTGGTTTGTAGAAATGCTACTGGTTTTCATACATTGATTTTGTATTCTGAAACTTTACTGAAGCCATTTGTCAGTTCCAGGAGGCTTTTGGTGGAATCTTTAGGATTTTCTAGGTATAGAATTATATCATCTGCAAAGTTTGACTTTTCCTAATTGGATACCTTTTATTTATTTCTTTTGCCTGATTGCTCTGGTTAGTACTTCCAGGACTATGTTGAATAAGAGCTGTTGAGAGTAGGCATCCTTGTTTTGTTTCAGTTATCAAGAGGAATGCTTCGTTTTCGCCTCTTCAGTATGATGTTGGCTGTGAGTTTGTCGTAGATGGCTCTTGTTATTTTGAAGTATGTTCCTTTGATGCCTACTTTCTTGAGGATTTGTAAAATGAAGGGATGTGGAATTTTATTGAACACTTATTCTTCATCTATTGAGGTATTCCTATGATTTTCATTTTTAATTCTGTTTATGTAGTGAATCACATTTATTGATTTGCATATGTTAAACTAACCTTGCATCCCCAGGAAGGAAGCCTACTTGATCATAGTCAATTAAGTTTTTGATGTGCTGTTGGATTCAGCTTGCTAGTATTTTGATGAACATTTTTGCATCTGTGTTCATCAGGGATATTGACCTGTAATTTTTATTTGTGTGTGTGTCTTTGCCTGGTTTTGGTATCAAGGTGATGCTGCCTTCATAGAGTGAGTTGGGGAGGAGTTTTTCCTCCTTGATTTTTTTGGAATAGTTTCAGTAGAATTGGTACCAGCTTTTCCTTGTATATCTAGTAGAATTTGGATGTGAATCCATCTGCCCAGGGCTTTCTTTGGTTGATAGATTTTTTATGACTGATTGAATTTTGGAACTTGATATTGGTCTGCTCAAGGTTTCAGTTTCTTTCTGATTCAATCTTGGGAGATTGTTTTCTAGGAATTTATCCATTTTCTCTGAATTTTCTAGTTTGGGTAATACAAGGGTTCATAATAGTCTCTGGATTTTTTTTGTATTTCTGTGGAATTGGTTGTAATTACCTTTTCATTTCTGACTGTGTTTATTTGCATCTTCTCTTTGTTAATCTAGCTAACAGCCTATTGATCTTGTTTATCCTTTCAAAAAAAAACAACTTTTGGTCTCATGGATTCTTTGTTTGGATATTTGGGTCTCAATTTCATTCCATTCTGCTTTGATTTTAGTTATTTCTTTTCTTTTGCTAGTTTTGGTGTTAATTTGGTTTTTTTCTTGTTCTTCTGGGTGTGATATTAGATCATTAATTTGAGATTTTTCTAACTTTTTGAGGTAGATACATAGCACTTTCCTCTTAACACTGCTTTTGCTGCATCCCAGATAATTTCCATGATATTGTGTGATTTTAGAGAGATCTTCTTGGTATTGATTTCTATTTTTATTCCACTCTAATCTTAGAGTATGATTGGTATGATTTCATTTTTTATAATTTATTGAGACTTGCTTTATGGCTGAGCGTGTGAGTGATCTTGGAGTATGTTCTGTGTGCAGATGAGTAGGATTTATATTCTGTGGTTGATGGGTGGGGTCTTCTGTAGATGTCTGTTAGATCAAGTGTCAAATTTAAGTCCATAATTTTTCTTCAGTTTTCTACCTTGATGATCTATGGGATGCTGTGAGTGGTATGTTGAAGTTCCCCACTATTGTCTTGTGGCTAAGTCTTTCCATAGGTCTAGAAGTACTTGTTTTATGTATCTGGGTGCTCCAATGTTGAGCACCCAGATATTTGGGATAGTTCAGTCTTCTCATTGAATTAAACCCTTTATTATTATGTAATGCCCTTTATCCTTTTTTACCTTTGTTGGTTTAAAGTATGTTTTATCTGATGTAAGAACTGCGACCCTGCCCTTTTTGTTTGCCCTTTGCATAGCAGGTTTTTCTCCAGCCCTTTACTTTGAACCTGTGAGTGTCATTATGTGTCTGATGAGTCTCTTGTAGAATGCAGATGGGCCTTGTTTTTTTTTTTTTTAACTCCAACTTTCCACCCTGTGCCTTTCAAGCGGGATGTTTTGATCATTTACATTTAAGGTTAATATTCTTATGTGAAGTTTTGATTCTATCATGAAGTTGTTACTGGTTGCTTCGTAGTTTCTATCATGCAGTTGCTTTACAGGGACTGTGACTCTGTCCTTGTGTTGTTGTGGTAGCAAATATTGTTCTTCTGTTTCCCCGTTTAGAACTTCCTTAAAGATCTCTTGTTAAGGCTGGTGTAGTGGTAACTAATTCTCTTAGTGCCTGCTTGCGTGGAAAAGATTTTGTTTCTCTTTCACTCATGAAGCTTAGTTTAGTGGGTATGAAATTCTTGGTTGAAATTTCTTTAAAAATTCTGCAAATAGGCCCTCAATCTCTCCTAGCTTGTGAGGTTTCTGCTGAGAAGTCTGCTGTTAGCCTAATGGGGTTCCCTTGTTTGTAATCTCTTTTCTCTAGGTGACTTTAAGGTTTTTTCTTTAGTGTTGACCTTGGACAGTCTCGTGCTATATGCCTTGGTGATCTTCATTTTGTATAGTATTTCTCAGGTGTTCTCTTGATTTCTTATACCTGGATGTCTACCTCTCTAGCAGGATTAGGGAAATTTTCTGAATTATTCCCTCAAATATGTTTTTCAGTTTGTTTAGTGTTTCTTCTCTGGAATGCCAGTAGTTCATTGGTTTGGTTACTTTACATAATTTCATATTTCTAAGAGACTTTGTTCATTTTTTAAAATTCTTTTTTTCTTTATTTTTGTCTAGCTAGGCTAGTTTGAAAGACTGGCCTTCAAGTTCTGAAATTCTTTCTTCTGCTTGGTCCAATCTGTTGATAAAGCTTTCAGCTGTATTTGGAAATTCCATAAGTGAGTTTTTCAATTCCAGAAGTTTGTATTGATTTATTTTAAAGATGTTTATCTCTTCCTTCATTTCTTGGATTGCTTTGGAAGTTTCTTTGTATTGATTTTCAACCTTGTCTTAGATCTTGTTGAGCTTCCTTGCAATCCATGCTTTGAATTCTTTGTCTCTTATTTCTGAGTTTCTATTTTGGTTAAGGACCATTTCTAGAGAGCTAGTGATATTTTGTGTTGTGTCACTACATTCAGATTTTTTTATGGTGCCACAATTCTTGCACAGGTTTCTTTTTTTTTTTTTTTTTTTTTGAATTTTTTTGTATTATACTTTAAGTTCTGGGATACATGTGCAGAACGTACAGGTTTGTTATATAGGTATACACCTGCCATGGTAATTTGCTGCACTCATCAACCCGTCATCGACATTAGGTATTTCTCATAATGCTATCCCTCCCTTAGCCCTCCACACGCCGACAACACTGGTGTGTAATGTTCCCCTCCCTGTGTCCATGTGTTCTCATTGTTCAATTCCCACTTATGAGTGAGAACATGCGGTATTTGGTTTTCTGGTTTCTTATCTAGAGATCTTGGCACTTCTAATTTTTATAATATTTTTGTGCAGGTAGGATTCTTTTTTCTTTCTTTCCTTATAATATATATATATGTGTGTGTGTGTGTGTGTGTGTGTATATATATATATATTTTTTTTTTCTTTCTCTTTCCTTCTCTTGGGGGTGTGACTGTAGAGAATGCTGAGTAGGGTCTTTGGGCTTTCCTTCCATAGCCCTATGCACTTCTGTTGGCAGGTTGTATATTAGGCTATGCAGTTTAACCTACAAACCAGTAGATGGTGCTTATTAGTAACAGCCAATTGCAGCCAGTGCAGCTGGGTATATACTTAATCCTTGTTTACTAGGAGAACTCTCTGTTGCCTTAGGCAATGGGCTGATTCTTGGATTGCACAGTTGTCTGAGCTCCCTGCTCAGCCCTGGGGATTGGGTGCCAAGATGGGCAGGATGAGACTGGGCAGATCTGCCTACAGATCCCCCTGTGGCAGGTGTGGGCACCAGCGCTGAGGGAGAATCTACCTGGCAGCCACTAAATGCCCACAGGCGTGCCTAAGAAACACCCCCAGCCCCACGTTCTCTGGACAGGGTTCGGGAGATGGCATGAACTCCTAATTTAGGAGAGCTACAGGTGCCTGGAGCTCTGCCTGGGCAGGGAGCAGAGAGGGCCACTCTGTATGAAAATCTCTACACAGGAAATGTAGGTTAACTCAGGCTGTTGAAACAGGCAAACAGGTGCTTTGAATGCCTGAAGGTCTGCCTGAGTGTGAAGCAGAGAGGGCCCCCCTACACCAGATCTATGCATAGGAAACGTGGGGCAGTTCAGGCTGCCAGTCTGGGCAAGGAGGTGCTTTGAATGCCTGGAAGTCTGCTTAGATGTGGAGTGGAGAGGGCCCTGCTGCACTGTGATGTATGCACAGGAAGGGTTGGGGTAGTATGGCCTTTAATTTATACTAAAAGTGCATGCGATTTTGCACATCCTTCCATTCCCATGATCTGGCAGAAGCTATCCATTGAGATATTATTATGTAACCGCTTTGCTAGCTTTTCTGGGTAACATATTTTGTGTTCTTTTGAACTAAGGAGTCACTCTGTGTGTGTGTGTGTGTGTGTGTGTGTGTGTGTGTTTAGGGGAAGGAGTGAAAGAGGGATGCAGGAAGGGAGAGAGGGAAGAAATGAGGATAAAGGATTGCTATCATTAGTATTTTATGAGTGCTTTATCTCCTCGAGCATTAGGTGAGTCTGGAAGGGGAAATTTTCATGTTAATTACTACAAATCTGTGAGTGAAAATTCCTCAAAGAGATCTGTGCATATTTGTTTATAATTACATTTTGTGAGATAATCACTAGTAAATATACTAAAATTCTTTTAGATAGGTTTTATGTGTGTGTATGTTTTCTCTAATTTCTTATTACATGATGCATTTTTCTTTTCCCAATAGAACCTCTGTATTACTGGCAACAGACTGAAGATGATTTGACAGTAACGATAAGGCTTCCAGAAGACAGTACTAAGGAGGACATTCAAGTACAGTTTTTGCCTGATCACATCAACATTGTACTGAAGGATCACCAGTTTTTAGAAGGAAAACTCTATTCATCCATTGATCATGAAAGCAGTACATGGATAATTAAAGAGAGTAATAGGTATTTTTATAATTTTAATATTCTATTATCTTTTTTTCTTTTTACTCTTTCCACAGTGGATACATCAGAGATTAATACAATAGTTCTGCCTGTATTACTGGTTACTTTTCTTAAGATACATTAAAAATAGAATTACTGTGTCAAAGAGGATGTTTCTAGTTGAAATTAAAGATAATAGCATAATTATCACTTGGAGAATATGGTAGTGCTTTGTTTTACCAGCTCTGGATACAATAATAATTATAGTTGAAAATGGCTATTTATTTTAAATTGCACTTTTTCAAACTTTTTAAAAGAAATAATTTTTTTAACTTTAATTTGCTGGCTTGATAATGTATTTCCATTCTTTAAAATTTAAAATATACAAAAGGATATAGAGTGAGAAGTCTACCTCCAACACAAGCCTATGGGTCACCCGTCCTCCCACTCACAATCAGTGTTGATACATTTTGCATACATTCAAGCACCAGACATACATTTTTCTTTTCTTTAAGGAAAACTACTTTTGGCAGCTAGCTGCAGTGGCTCATGCCTCTAATCTCAACGTTTGGGATGCTGAGGTAGGAGGATTGCTTGAGGCCAGGAGTTTGTGACCAGAGTAGGCAAAAAGAGAAAATCCTGTCTCTAACAACAGCAAAAAGGTTTTTAACACATACTTTACACAATTATACATCTTGGTTTTGTTCACTTGCAATGATAAATCTTAGGGATCTTTCCATAATGAATATATAAAAATTATTAAATTCTCTTTTATGACATGGTATTTTATTCTATCAACTGCACCATCATTTTAGACAATGAATCCTCTATTGTGTTAATTTAGGTTGTTTTCAATAATGTCTGTGTATATACATATTATTTCACATGTGTAGAAGTATATATGAAGGATAAATTTCTAAAAGTGGAATAATTAATATTTCTTTGTAAATTGTAATTTTTTCTTATGTAAATTCTCCATTTACATTTCTTTTGTGAATTGTGTGTTCAGTACACAAAGCCATAAAAGAAATACGTAAGTGGTCAGGCACAGTGGCTCATGCCTGTAATCCCAGCACTTTAGGAGGCTGAGGCGGGTGGATTGCCTGAGGTCAGGAGTTCGAGACCAGCCTGACTAACATGGTGAAACCCCGTCTCTACTAAAAACAGAAAAATTAGCTGGGCGTGGTGGTGGGTGCCTGTGATCCCAACTACTTCAGAGGCTGAGACAGGAGAATTGCTTGAGCCCGGGAGGCGGAGATTACCGAGACCGGGCCATTGCTCTCCATCCTGGGCAATAAGAGAGAAACTCCGTCTCAAAAAAAAAGAAATACATAAGTTAAACTTCATCAAAACAGGCATTTTCTGCATGGCAAAATTAAAAATTTTTGTTCTTCTAAAGATACCATTAAGAAAACTAAAAGGTAAGCCATGGACTGGGAAAAAATATTCACAGTACTCATCTTAAACAAAGAGCTTTCATTCTTAGTGTATAAGGAAGCCTTACAAATTCATAATAAAAAGAAGCCAATTTTTTTAAATGGTCAAATTATTTGAATAGACCTGTCACAATAAAAGATATGTGAACAGCTTGAACAGCTAGTATGCCTATCAAAAGGTAATTATCATTAGACATTAGGAAAATTAAAACTAGCGTGAGACACCAATACGTGACTAAAACTTTGAAGACTGACAGTATCAAACGTTGGCAAGGATGTGGGGCACCAGCAACTCATTCGTGTCTGGTGCAAGTGTAAAATAATAATACAATCACTTTGGCAGACTGTTTAGTAGTTTCTTATCAAGTTAAACATATGCTGATTTTTAATCTAACAATTCTACTCCTTGATGTTTAACCAAAATAAATGAATGTAAATAATTTTTTGTTTTTTCTGAGACAGGGTGTCACCCTGTTGCCCAGGTTGGAGTGCAGTGGCACAGTCACTTAGCTAATTTTTGTGATTTTTTGTAGAGATGGGGTTTTGCCATGTTGCTCAGACTGGTCTCAAACTCCTGACCTCAAGGGATCTGCCTGCCTCGACCTCCCAAAGTGCTGGGATTGCAGGTGTGAGCCACCATGCCCAACTGAAAATATATATTAAAAAACAAAACAAAGCCAAAACAAATTTGCAAACATATATTCAGAGCAGACACACTTACAAAAGCCAGAAACTGGAAACATCTCTAGTGTTACTGAAAAGGTGAATGGATAAGTACGTGTGGTATATTCATACAATGAAATGCTACTCTGTCATAAAGTGCTAACAATAAATAAAAAGCAATATGAATGAATTAAAAACATGTGAGTGAAAGAAGCCAAAGACAAAAAAATCGTACTGTATGATTCCACATATGGAGTTCTAGAACTGGCAAAACTAATCTATGGTGATACAAATCAAAACACTTGTTATCTATAGGGTGTAGGGAGATTGACTGGAGAAAGGTCACGGGAACTGCCTGTATGGTGGAAATAATTCAGTATCCTCATTGGATTACAAAGGTGTATGCATTTGTCAAACTCAGTAAATTCTACACTTAAAATCTGTAAATTTTATTTATAAATTATACCTGAATTAAGGGAGCAAAACTATCTTTTTATAAAAGATAAAGTTAAGTGTCTTATAAAACTATAATCCTTTGCCCCCCACTACTGGGCCATTTTGCAAATCTATTATTCCAGGCAATTTATTCCCCAATTATTTGGATTAATAAAATTATTTTCTTTTAATTTAAATCAAGTCTTAGTAATTATTAAATTCAGTGATGGATTAATGAATAGAGTTAGACAGTTAATTTTTTAAATCGTCAGATTTGGTCAGAAATGAGAAATGGTTGATTTAAAATATGACCTAAATCTTGTGCTTGAAGTTGATGTTACATAGAGGATAACTTAGGTGTTTTTACACAAAGTATAGTTCTTAATTAGTAGTATATGATCCATGTGAATCTGATACAAGTCTCAATCATGAGCATCTAAGACAAATATATCTAGCTCATAGAAAGTTTGGAGTTGTAAAAGCAGGTATCTTACATTTCATTAACGAAGACATTTGGTGATTTTGTTACACTTTTTAATACATCAAAAATAATTGCTTGAAAGGTTCTTTTAAAAGTATTTTGTATCTCCACATACTCTATTTAATTATGTTTATGTGTATGTGAGTCACATTTACAAATTGGCAAACCAACTAGAACGTATTGTTAAATGTAAGTCATCACACGGTAACCCAGCGAAGGTCTAGGGGAATAGCTTGACTTCATGTAAGTAGTTCAGCATTCAGTGCATCAACATAGATCAGTATTATTTTTCCATTAAATTTGAGGTGTTTGATTATTATTTTGTGTTTAAAAAAGATAATTACAACGTGGTGTAGGTGGTATCGTTGGTTTAAAAACGCACGATTTTCTGTACTTGAGTAAATTATTCGTACCTCTCATTTTCAAAAGTTACTGTTGTCTCACTTTTTAACTAATCTGTAATTTATTATGTTTGGCCTTGTGTGGGCTTTTTTTGCTTGGATGGTAGCATACAATACTAGTTTTAAAACGTATAAATGCAGTCTTACAAGAAGGGTACACTGATTAGCTGTGCAAATTAGTGATGGTTTGGAAATTATAACAGATTGTATCAACTCTTTCACACCTCTAGGTAGCAACTAGTTCACTGGGTAAATGTTCTTTAATAGTTATTTTTATATATTTTTTCACTACTGCAGAATAGTGCAGTAGTGAATAACATGGACCTAGAGCCAGACTACTTAAATAGCTTGTGACCTTGGCAAGTTGCTTAACCTCAATACTTTTTTTTCTTTCTTGTAAAATGGTGATGATAAAAATATTTCCAGTACTTTATTTGGTGGTTGTAACCAGTGAGTTAAAACATGTAAAGTGCTTAAGACAGCACCTGACATATAGGTAAGTATAAGCTATTGTCATTATTACTATTACTGTCATCATCATCATCATCATCATCATCATCATTATCAAGATTACCTTTATCCTGAGAAAATGTAACTAAATCTCGGGACCGGGCACGGTGGCTCACACCTGTAATCCCAGCACTTTGGGAGACCAAGGCAGGCAGCTCTCTTGAGGCCAGGAGTTCAAGACCAGCCTGGTCAACATGGCAAAACCCTGTCTCTACTAAAAATACAAAAATTAGCCGGTGGGCATGATGGCGTGGCCTGTAATCCCAGCTACTTACTTGGGAGGCTGAGGCACAAGAGTCACTTGAACCCGGGAGTCGGAGGTTGCAGTAAGAAAGATTGTGCCACTGCACTCCAGCCTGGGCAAGAGAGTGAGACTCTGTCTCAAAAAAGAGAAAAAAATGTAACTAAATTTGGGCTTTTATTGTGGTAGTAATTTTCAGTGCTAATGATAAGTACTCATATTATTATTTTGTATAGTCTCTTAAAATAGGTAGTTTCAGAAAAATGCTAAATACTGTAATTCATAAGGCAGTGATTATAACAGTCTTGAAAAAGAACGACAGGTAAGTTTGCATGTCCTATTTGATAATTATAATAGTTATTATTGTATTCTTGCAGTTGTGTTCCAGGGCATGAGCTAATATGGTACATGTGTATGAAAGATGGCACATGGAAAAGGTTGCTTTGTTGTGGAATAGCTATCACCACTCCCCTTTTCTGTTATAGCAGTGGGTGCTCCCAAAGCATCTTACTTGGGTTTTCCTTCCTATTCCAGAGGAACATGGGCCAACTTACTTCTCCTCCTATGTCCATAGTCTGCCTTGACTCTGCTCTCTTTCCCTTTCCTGCTGCATCAGTCCTTGATCTCAGGGTTCCCTGACAGGCCATTTTTAGTACATTTGGAATTATTTAATTGTTTACATGTACAGAATTAGATTTGAAATAAGTTAATAGAGAACACATTAACATCTTTTTTCCCTGTATTACCAAAGTTGATTTTTTTCCTTATTTCTACTTTTCAATTATTTAGCCTCTGTATTTTAAAATTAAGATTTGCATTCATTTAATCTGCTTGATCTTTAGGTTAATAATCATATATTATGGTTCTTAGTTTGTGAAAATAAAGTTAATTATTGGCTCCAGACACAAAGAAGTATCCTTTAGTTACAGGCCTTTTCCTCTTTGCTTACATGCCCACATCCCCGACCATTGCCCAGATGTCTTACAGATCCATACGTCTTGTATTTCTATTAAGCTCAGGAACATACTGCACACCAGTACTTTCTGGATGACCTCACTCTTTCCAGCCAGTTCTGTCTTCAGGCCATTTGATGTACCATTTCCAGTGGTACTTTCTTTGTTTATTAAATCTGGACTATTCGCCATTGGATTATAGGTTTTCCATCACATGCAAAATTTAAATGAGCAAGATTTTTGGTAAACCATCCTGTGGACACCGGAGGGTTCTTTCTATAGAAGATAGAAACAAACAGTATTTGTTACTGATTGTATAGTTTGTATAATTGCTTAATGTAACTTTACTTTTCTCATTTAAACTTCTAGCTTGGAGATTTCCTTGATTAAGAAGAATGAAGGACTGACCTGGCCAGAGCTAGTAGTTGGAGATAAACAAGGGGAATTTATAAGAGATTCAGCCCAGTGTGCTGCAATTGCTGAACGTTTGATGCATTTGACCTCTGAAGAACTGGTAAGTAGTTGGAATACTAGTGTGACTTTCCAAAGATCCAAAAATATGTTGTGTGACGATTATGCCATGCTTTTCAAACATTATTTTGCTTTTCCTAATGTAAAAGATACATATCAGATACTACTGATCTGAGTGATGTTTGAATATGGCTGAAGTTCTAATATTTATTTCTTACACTATGTAAATACATACATGTATGTGTGGTCATTCTATATAGAGAGTTTGCCTGCATCTGTGTATGTGTGTGTATGTATTGTGCGCGCGCTCTCTCTCTCTACATGTATTCTTTAGAAGAATCAACTGACCAGTGCTGGCAGGACAAAAATTATGTTAAAATTTATTTACCAATAATCTACTTATCACTAAAATTTTTGAGGTGATTTTAGAATTTTGCAAGGATATATGTATCATATATAGTAATTTTTTCTTTGTAATGTAATTAATTGTGATGATTACAGCGACACCACAATACTTAATCATGAGGTTGAATATGTTCCCACTCTGATGACGTGTATGATCATGTTAAGAATGTGAACAAATACAGCAGTACATCAGAATTTTAAATTGTATGTTCATTTTCTAACAATGATATCAGCATATGAAAGATGTCTGGTTTATTGCCATCTTGAATTATAGAGATGAGGAAGACTGTACAAAGTATTGTTTATACTATAATGTTAATCGCATCCTAAGATAGAAAAAAAGGTTTAGAATATTGAAAGTGAATGTCTCTATCAAAAGGAAACATGGCCAGATAGAGAAACCAAGTTTCATGTTTGCCAATAGTAATTGAAAATTTCAGGAATCACTGAAACTCATATGTAGGACTTCAAAACTTTGATTTCATAGCCCTGTGTACAACAAACCATACAGGCTGCATTGCCTTATATTCACTCATTAAGCAAGTATTATTGTGTTAGGCTCTGGGAATATAATAGCAGTGACAGTATTGGAGATGTGTTTTGAGATTGTAAATAATTGCAGTTAACTACTTTTTAAACTTGATGGTTTCAATTGAATATTAGTGTTTATGAGAAAGTTATTTATGCCTAAACACCAGTGTGTTTGTTACATTTTGAAAAGACAAACATACAATCTTATCTGCAGCTGAAGGCAGTTTTGTTTTTCAAATATTCATACTTGCCTTACTGCAGTGGTTAGAATGTCTGCTCCACAGCTATATAGAACTCTCAAATGGTAAAAGCAGACATTCTTGCCTTATTTGTGATCTTGGGGAAAATAATTATTTTATCATTAAGAAGGATAGATTCTTTGTATTACATTGAAAAAACTTTCTTCTGTTTGTAGTGTGCTGAGAGTTTTTATCATGAATGATTATAGAATTTTCTGCATTGGTGGGATAAGCCCTTCTTGGTCAGGTTTTTTGTTTTGTGTTGTGTTGTTTTTTACCATCCTTTTCCAGTTTGGATATCTGGGTTATAACTTTGTAAAATGATTAGGGAAGTGTTCTATTTGTAGAAGAGAATGTATAGAACTAGTGTTATGTCTTAAAATGTTTGGTAGAATTTGTCAGTAAAGCAATCTGGACCTTGAGTTTGCTTTTTTGGAAGGCACTTAACTATGGTGCCTTAGTTTTTAATGTTTTTAATTTCTTTTAACAGATATAGATCTGATGTGAGCATCTGTTACCATTGCCTTTGTTTTTCAGTTTTCCATTTCTTAATTTCCATGTTACATGTATTATGTTCTTCCTTTTGTTTACTAGGAATTTATATTGCTTTTTTGTTTTCTATTTTTGAAGGCGATAGCCTAGTTGATTTTTGAATTTTCTGTTCCAATGAAAGCACTTAATGTTGTACACGTCCTTCTAAGCACTACTGTAACTGCATTCTCTAAATTTTTAGCCTACCTTAATTCCATAGGGATTGATTTGATTCGATGCTGGGCTTCAGTCTTTTACATGGCTGATTTATTCCATGTTTATTCTTACACGTAAGGCAAAACTTTTCATTTATCTCAACTGAAAGCCTAGGATGTTTACCAGGGCTTCTCCTACTGTGTGGACTCTGAAGTCTAATTTTTGACTCCCAAGCACTTTAATACCCCAAACTCAGCTTTTTAGCCCCTTATTTGCTGCTTTCCGCTTGTCTTTTTCAACTCAGTTTAAAAATCAGTAAATGGTCTTTGGAAAGCAACATAGCATTTGCTGTATTGAAGTTTGACCCTTTTCTCTGCAATCTTGTCCTGTGAAGCACTGGTGATCTTGATAGTCCTGAACTTTTAATTTTTTCTGCTTCTAAAAGTATGGATAATTGGAAGGTGAAGGGAAGGAGAAATCTATAGGGTACTTTCTCTATTCTGTTGGATATAGATATCTCCTTGAGACACTGTGCAGAATGGCATCAACTAACCAGGAGATTGCTGGTGGTGCCGTTACAACCAGTCACAGCAACCATAATTGTTCCCATTGATACTTAGACTACAGGCAACAGCCACAACTAGGCGGTTCTATATTCCAGCTGGGACATGGACACATGTTGAGGATGTAGATCTTCTAGAACTTCCATCCATTTAGTTTCAGATTCTCTCAGTTCATTTCATTAAATGTTTAATAACATGAGAATTAACATAACTCTGTATCTTAGCAAACTAGATGTTTACACATTTGGTCAGTTGTAGAATTGTATTTCTGCTATATGCAGATATTGTATAATTTATTGCTTAATTATTGTGATCCTGGTACTCTGTGAGGTATATAAGACCAGACAGTGACCCTTGCATTGAAGCAAGGGAACATTTAAAAATTGCTTTCATGAATTTATTTATGTCTAGTTTAGGCTTATTAACAATATTTCAGTGTTTCTGTTTGGGTAGATATTTGTGTGTGTGTGTGTGTGTGTGTGTGTGTGTGTGTGTGTTTTAGTGGTTCTAGAGGTTACATCTTTGACTTATCACCAACTGTCTTTAAAAACTGTATCACTTCATCTATAATTTAAGAAATTTATATTTTCTTCTCTTCTGTTCTTTGTATTATTGTTGTCTTACATTTTATATTCCATTAAAATTAATAATACATTGCTATTTTAGCTATAGTCAGTAGTTCTCTTTTTTTTTTTTTTTTTTAGGACGGAGTCTAGCTCTGTCGCCCAGGCTGGAGTGCAGTGGCCGTATCTCAGCTCACTGCAAGCTCCGCCTCCCGGGTTTACGCCATTCTCCTGGCTCAGCCTCCCGAGTAGCTGGGACTACAGGCGCCTGCCACCTCGCCCGGCTAGTTTTTTGTATTTTTTTAGTAGAGACGGGGTTTCACCGTGTTAACCAGGATGGTCTCGATCTTCTGACCTTGTGATCATGTGAAAAAAAGGTTTTTCATTTACTCTTATATTTGCCTTTTCATCTATTCTATATTTCTTTGTGTTGATTGACATTTTCATCTGATGTTATTTTTTTCTGGCTGGAGAGCTTCTTTTAGCATTTTTTTCTAGTGTGGATTTGCTGGTGATAAATTCTCTCAGCTTTTTTCTGCAAAAATATTTCTCTTTTCTTCCCTTTTCTGAAGTTATTTTTGTTATGTATATAATTCAGCGTTGACAGGTTTGTTTTTTTTTTTTATCTTACGCATTCAAATATACACCATTGTATTCTGGCTTACGTAGTTTCTGATGAGAAGTCAGCTGTCTTTTACATCTTTATTCCTCTGTAAATAATGTATCTTTTCCTCCCCTGTCTGCTTTTAGGAATTTGTTTATTACTGCTTTTCAGAAATTTACTTATAATGTGACTTACTGTGGTTTTTGATTTTTAAAAAAAATATTTGTTGTGCTTGGAGTTCTTCGACATTCTAAAGAGTTGGCCATTACTTATTCACAATTTTTTCCCCATTCTTCTTGCCCTCCTCCAGTTACCCATATGCTAGACCATTTGATATTGTTCCACAGATCACTGAGTTTCTCTGTTTTTATGTTTTGTCTTTGTGCTTCATTTTGTAGTCACTATTGCTATTTTTCAAGCTCACTGGTCTTTTGTCCTGCAATGTCTAATCAGCTGTCTGTCATATCTGTTTTGTTTTTCATTTCAGATTTGTGTTTTTATTTTTTATTTTTTTTTATTTTTATTTTTTTTTTTTGAGACGGAGTCTCGCTCTGTCGCCCAGGCTGGAGTGCAGTGGCCGGATCTCAGCTCACTGCAAGCTCCGCCTCCCGGGTTCACGCCATTCTCCTGCCTCAGCCTCCCGAGTAGCTGGGACTACAGGCGCCCGCCACCTCGCCCGGCTAGTTTTTTGTATTTTTTTTTTTTAGTAGAGACGAGGTTTCACCGTGTTAGCCAGGATGGTCTCGATCTCCTGACCTCGTGATCCGCCCGTCTCGGCCTCCCAAAGTGCTGGGATTACAGGCTTGAGCCACCGCGCCCGGCGTGATTTGTGTTTTTATATCTAGAAGTTCAGTATGGTTCTTTTCTTTCATCTCTCACTTTCTCATGTTTATGTTTTCCTTTACATCTTTGAGTATATAGAGCATGTTTATAATATGTGTTTTCATATCCTTTTCTGCTGACTTCGTCATTCTGTTATTTCTGTTTGTGTGATTATGATTTTATTGGTCATGGGTTTGCAATTCATTTTTAATTACTGCTGTAACCTTAACATTTTTAAAGATGAAGAAACCCATTCCCTTGTTTATTTGTTTTACTTATTTGTTTTACTTATTTACTTATTTTATTTTCTGGACTAAGAATCCAAATCCAGATAAAGAAAAACCACCTTGCAATGCTCAAGAGTTAGAAGAATGTGATATTTTCTTTGAAGAGAGCTCCAGTTTGTGCAGATTTGATGGCAGTACATTAAAAACTACTCATGTGGTAAGTTACTGTTATTAATATTTTTATAAAATTTTGTCAGTAGTTAACTCAGATGATGATTGGCCTGTATATGTTTTTCAAAGATACTTGATTAGCAGTTATTGGCTTTGATAAGTCTCATCACTCTGTCAAGTAGCATCTTTTCATACACTCAGTAAAACAGTGTTGTATAGTTTTGGTACCACTTTATATTGATATTTTTCAATTTGCGCTTTTCTGGATGGGTTTTTCATATATAATTGTGACCCTATAATGTATAATAACTTCACATGTTTTTTTTTTTCATTCAACATTATGAACTTAAGCGTTTCCTCATGTTATTTAAATGTCTGGTTTAATGGTTGGATTATACTATGATGTTGGTCATGTCTGCATGTGGTGATTCTACCCATTACAATAAGTAATAGCTTTTTAAAAATACATTATGATGATGCTATTTTTAAAAATCTCTGTTATATGAAGCCTTTTCTATTTCCAGGGAAATTTATCTAATAACAAGTTACAGAATTCAAATTAATGAATCATAAGCCTCTGACAAATTGATTACTACTTATATTTTTATTAGTAAAGATTGCAGTTATTGCCTGATTCACTGCATCTTCACCTTCACTTTTTTGTTTGATCATTACTAATTAGTGTGCAGAATAAACTTGTGCCATTTTTTTTTAACTGTCAACTATTTCATGTAATAACTATTTCTTTTGTGAAGAAGTTTTTATTTGTCTTAGTGTTTCTTACCAATTTGTATGACGTGTTTTAAATTTGAATAATGCTTCTATATCAAGTGAGTTAATTTTTTTCTTCTTTTTCTATTTTGGAATATTTTTATTCAACTCATTAATTCATCTGGAATTTGTTTTTCCTTTTCTCTCTTGTGTGCCATATATATATTTCACACCCTGCCCCCCCTAAAAAAAATTTACACTGTGTTTACAAGCTTTGACAGATTTGTATTAAGATACTGAAGAAGACTGCCTGGAGTGACTTGATGCAGTAGATGTAGAATTTTTTTTTGTTTGTTTGTTTTAATTTAGAACCTTATTAGACCTTCCTTCTTAGGGGAATCCTTAACCGTTAGTTATTACTACTAAGTGTGTGTTTCATGGAGTTGTTTCTGTGAGCAGGGTGTCTCAGCCAATTGGTGGCTAACTTAGAGCTGTGCATATAGAAATTAGTGTTATTACTGAAACCAGAAGGAAATTTGGGAGACTCATTCCAAGCAAAAGCAACAGAGGAGATTGAGAGCAACTTGGTCTTTTGTTTCTGTTTTTAGACTTGTTAGTCTTTGATACAGGTTTCAAAGGCTCTGTTTTCAAGAAAACCCTGAAAAATTTCTGCCAAGTTTGCCCTGATGTTTCTTTGTTATGTAGAGGTTTGGGGGAAAGTGTATTCTACCAGAATTCATGTAACCGAAGTTAAAAGTGTCATGGTAAGCTGGTTTACCAGGTCTGAGTTCTGGCCCAACATCTTACTGACTGAAAGGAAATATCACTGTTCTTCTCACTCGCTGTCCCTTCCTGGTATTTTTGGATACTTACCAGCTTTCTTTAATGGCTGAACGTTAGTTAGTACTCAAAGAAGTTGTAAAATGAGCATTTCTAGTTATACCTATGTGGATAAACGAGGTGGAATGGCATAGGACCAATGGCTAGGCAGAAGTACCATTTGAAGCTGTATCAAAATTAAATGTTTGCTTTTACAATTAATTTCTATCTCTGCACTGCTCTCTTCCTTACCATGCTTTAACACTAGTAAGTTCTAAAAAGCACATGGATAACATTTTACCAGAGTCCTCAACACCTACCAAATGTTCTGATTCATGATAGTTGCTTAATATATTTCTTTAGAATTATCTTTTAGTGACAGTCATTAAATTTTAAAAAATTGTTTTAGGTCCATCTTGGATCTCAAGAAATGACTGTCTTTCATTTTCTCCCTCCTCAATTAATCTTCTAATTGAAGAGTAAGCAGTATTCTTAGTCAGATTATTATATCCAGGCTGGGTACTGGTCAAAACCCCAGATTATCAGAGCTGTTTCAAGTTGTTAGGAGTTTTACTTCCTAGCTGTTGTTTAGTTTTGACATAATCTTATAGATGATTCCCTGAATTGTGATAAATAAGAGCCATCACATAGCTACTCTTCTCTTTGTTACCTTGGGTTAAATTTTAGAGAACCAGTTTCAGGCGTGACTGATAGAAGCCTCTTGAATCTGACTAACTGGAGATTATTTGTTCTAATAATGAAGAATCTGGTTGTTGTTCTTAACGTTATACTTTTAGGTGCTATAACTCTTAGATACTGTTTTCTGCCAAACTTTTACAGGGAAGGCAGCTGTATCTTAGGTGTCATAAAATGCTGTGGTTTAAACTTAGCTTCCCTGAAAATTTCAGTTCATCTTAGTACTCCTAAATAGTGTTGATCAGTAGTTTAATGATGGTAACTGAGATACTCCCAGTTAATGATACCTTTCTTCATTTCTTATGTTTGAGTATATTAATTAAAACCAAGGGGCCGGGCGCGGTGGCTCAAGCCTGTAATCCCAGCACTTTGGGAGGCCGAGACGGGCGGATCACGAGGTCAGGAGATCGAGACCATCCTGGCTAACACGGTGAAACCCCGTCTCTACTAAAAATACAAGAAAATTAGCCGGGCGAGGTGGCGGGCGCCTGTAGTTCCAGCTACTCGGGAGGCTGAGGCAGGAGAATGGCGTGAACCCGGGGGGGCGGAGCTTGCAGTGAGCCGAGATCGCGCCACTGCACTCCAGCCTGGGGCACAGAGCAAGACTCCGTCTCAAAAAAAAAAAAAAAAAAAAACCAAGGAATGGCAAAATAAAAGCATTATTACTGATACATTACAGTACAAAAGCTTAGTGGATCTACGTACTGAGTCCTAGAATTTAGCAGATTTACCTGTAGTCACAGGCAATGTTAAATCAGCTCTGGCTGCCCCTAGAGGGACAGTTGAAAACTCTTATTTCCTGAGGCCTCTAGCTCCTTATATGAAAAAGTGATAGAACTGAGAAGAATATACCGATTTTTCTTACATTTACCGATCAAATGTGACTTCACTCGTCAGGAATTTATAAAAGCTAGAATGTTATAGCAGTGGATCTTCTCAGTGTCGTAGATCAAGAGTGGGGAAGAAGTCTAATATATAATAAACAGGGACAGTCTTTCCAACTTCAAAGAAATTCCATATTTCATCTTCTTCATTTTACGGATTTATTAAGACAAACTGAGATAGATGGAGTTTATATGGGATCAAAGAGAGAGTCAGTAGTGGAAACTAGATCTCTTGGGCTGCCAGTATGCTTTCCCTAATTTTCCCTAAACCAACAGGATCATAAATTTCTCTTTGGAGATCCTAAGCTACTACAGTTCGTCCTTCCTTCTGAATAAATACAGTTAGTCTTACTTCTGTGTTCCTAAGGAATGTGAACAATAGATTTCTGTGGTAAGCAGTTTCTATCCTCAGAAACTTAAGAAATAAACAAACAATCCTTCATTGTACCATAGCTTTTATTTGATGAGACATTTCCAGCATTTTGTACATACCTTTTTAACTAATCACATTTCAAAGTTTAATTGCTGGTTTAACTTCAATTAGTGTATAATTAAACTAAAGATTGTTATCTTTGTTTCAGTTGGATTTGAAACCAAACTTTCTTTTTACCATAAGCCCTTTATGGTAGAACAATTTTTATTCCTTTGGGTATACACACAATAATGGGATTGCTGGGTCAAATGATAATTCTGCTCTGAGTTCTTTGAGAAATCTCCAAACTACTTTCCACAATAGCTAACTAATATACATTCCCATTAGCAGTTTATAAGCATTCTCTTTTCTCCCCCATGTCACCAGCATGTTTTTTTTTTTTTACTTTTTAATAATGGCCATTCTGACTCATGTGAGATCCTAAACACTGAATACATATGGACACACAATTGAAAACAACAGACACCAGAGCCTACTTGAGGGTGGAGGGAGGAGGATGAGGATTGAAAAACTACCTGTCGGGAACTATGCTTATTACCTGGTTGGCGAAATAATCTGTACACCAAACCCCCATGACACGTAGTTTACCTATGTAGCAAACATGCACATGTACCCCGAACATAAAAGTTAAAAATTATAAGCATTTTGATTTTTATATTATTAATTTTTATATAGACAAAAATGCAGTGAAGTAAAAATGCATAAACATATATGTAGAATGGATACTCATGCAATGCTTGAAATTTGAAATTACCTTACATGGGAAGGTTAGTATATTCCCTAAGAGTTTTAGAAAATAATGCTATAATAAAAAGGTCAGAACTCTATGTTTTAAGTGACAAATATCCCAAAATATGTTTCCTTTAAAGACATGGACATTAGGGTTAGAATTGCCATTTGGAAAATAAAATGTTGAATAAATAAATGAAGCAGCACAATAAAAGAAATATTAAATATCAGAACTGAATATTTAATATTTCTCTGAAATATTAAATTGGTCACTAAAGTGTAAAGTGCAAATCAGAATTCAGATAGAATTGAAGATGAATTATTTTTACGTCTATCTAAGAGCTGTCAAAATGTTAGCCTCTGGCCATATGGTGACTATTGAGCAATTGAAATGTCGCTAGTCTGAATTGAAATGTGCTATAAATGTAAAATACACAACCAGATTTTGAAAATATGAAATACATAAAACATAAAATATTATTAATTAATTTTTATGTTGAAATGATAATCATTTGGATATGTTTGGTTAAATAAAATACATTACTCAATTTATCCAGTTTCTTTTTATGCTTAAATATGGCTCCTAGAAAATTTAAAATTATGTATGTGGCTCCCATTTTATTTCTGTTGGACAACACTGATCTGTAGTAATCAAATTATATAGACTTGAATGATCAGAAGGCGATAGGATATTTTTAAGTATTAGATTATGGTGAATTTCTTAGATCAGATGATATTCATCTATTGCTTAAGACAGGGGTCCCAACCACCCAG